TTTCCGCTCAGGTGCATCCTCAGCCATGAAAATTCCTAACTCCCAATCTAGAGCATGTAGAAACTTGCAACTTGAACAACCCAAAGAAGAAACTTGAATCTGCAAATACTGCATTTTTCATTCAAATTGCATCCAATCCAAATACAGTTCCCAATCAAATCCTGAAGTTTCTCATGCTGTTTTATCAGTTGAATGGGCGTCCGACTAGTACAACCGTTAACAGGTGTTAGTACAATTCCTCATGGAAATGGAAACACAACCAAAAAAACATATCGGCCGCAAAATTTCGCTTCGTACTCGCTTGATTGTTGTTAAGCAGGAAACACGTTGTCTGCGATATCGGATATCGACCGCAAAAAGCCACATGTGAGGCTCGGAAGTATTTTTGAAAATGCAACCACTTGCCCAGGGTTGAAAACTCCCATTTAACGTAGTGAAACTAGTTTAGAAACCTCAACATCGATGGCAACTTTAAACGGGAAAGCCGAGAGCGGCAAATTATCTATTGAAGACAACACGAAGTCAAAGCGGAAAATCACCCTTCTCAATGGGGTTGGATTAATTGTGGGGACCATTGTGGGTAAGTTTCCTGAATTTCGGGCATTAAAAAAACGAATGATGCAACAGTTTTCTATTGGCAGAAGTACTTTCCGATCATCGCTCGTATATCGGACAGGGGAGGCAAAGCCGGACTGGTTACCATGGCGATTGTATGTTGCTCTCTCTCCTGCCCGTATCGACGATGATCGCCCGTCGTATCTCTTAAATACGAGGGGTTTGTTGAAATTAATAAACAGCCAAACTTAAGTATAATTTTTCATTATAAGCCACATAGGACAATATGGTAATATATTTGTTGTTTTTTTAATTAGCTATTAAGTTTTGGTTAATATAGTAGAGCCATTATCAACCCACACACACAGTCACATGCAGTTAATTTTAACACGTGTGCTCACCTTTCAACACCCATTACTTAATGCGCTTAAAAGCAGTAAAAATTTGCTTAATTAAGGCTCTTAATTGTATTTTGTATTTTATTACCCAACTTTTCCTTTCTGTGAAATTCTTATCTTGAAAAATAATGCAACTGCTTCAAACAGTGAACGTTTCAGCTCGTGCAGCCATCATCAGATTTGTTTCAAATTGTTTTCAACGTTTTTCGCATTATGGGAACTTGGAACTGTTAACTTGATTCACGTGCCGTTTTTAACGCGACAATCAAAAATGTGGCGAAGTAAACAAAACCGTGTATTTATTTATAAAGCGATGTCTACGCATTTTGATATTCAACTCAGTGTCGGCATCCGAGGACGAGCGAAAGAATTACGTGCATTTATTTGTTTTTTCTAGCACATTTTAAATAGATTTTTGCATGAAAGTTCCTACAATAAATGTTTGATTTAGATAACCGCCATTGTTGGGGAATTATAAAAAAAAATCGTTTTTTGGGCGCATTTGGGCCAAAATCGGTGGGATGCGTACCTTCAAAGGCCTCCAACTTTTAAAAAATTTATATCTAGGAAACGGTTGCAAATATCTGAGGAATGATTGGCATTTTTTCGATAAATCGTATCAAGTAGGTAATGCCTTTCTTAATTGAACTTTAGGAGCTCCTAACCCTTAAAAAGTTAGAAGGCAAAATGTGTTGTTCAGGACCTTCGTGTGTTTCAGGTAGTGGGATATTCGTATCCCCCACTGGCGTATACATCGCTACCCACTCAATAGGAATGTCCATAGTGATATGGAGCTTATCAGGAATTTTTTCCATGCTTGGAGCTCTTTGCTATGCGGAATTGGGCACATCAGTTACCCGATCGGGAGGCGACTATGCTTACATCTACGTGGCGTTTGGGCCGTTGGCCGCTTTTCTTCGACTGTGGATTGCCATTTTGATTATCCGGTTAGCATTATTTTCAAGTCCAAATCAAATTCATTCCTGGGTTTCAGTCATTTATTGTCTCTATTTATCAATCAAAATACGTTTCGGTGTATTTTTCCAGCATCATCAGTTTT